CCCCCCCGTCCCCGATTGTTGGAAGATGGGCAGACTTAACGGATTTATTTAAATTCGTAATCGAATAAAATTGTGAGCGCGTAGGACAACGCTTGGTCTTTTTGGTAGGAGTGCAGAAGGCCTGGGTTCAATACTTGAGAGGACACTCAGAGTTGGAAAAATAGGTACACTGGGTGCCCAGAGTATATTTTTCAGAAGTTAAGTTTTCTCTGACAAATCAGAGTAACGCTCATAATGAACCCTGAATTTCAGAGTTCTCTAGAAAACAGCTCTGGAAATCCGAGTAGTGAAAATCAAAAAAAAAAAAAGCCCTGCCCCTGGGCCTCTGGGAACAAAGTTCTTACAGTTGGCTTGGCTTGCTTTGCATAAAAAGGGGCTACTGGTATGGTACCATATTTATAACATGTTGGTCTGTAATCTTGTTGGGTGGTGGTGAGGTAGGAGGGCCCAAGAGGAGATTTTGCATGGTCGACCCTTTTCTGTTCCGAGAGATGATGTACGGTACACCTGACCTGGCCTCAAACGAGGCACCTTACTTATAGCTCGAGAAAAGGTTGCAGGATCCCTTCCGCACACATATTAAATTATCTATTTGTTGAAACATGAAACCATATCAGAGTGGCGCAGCGGAAGCGTGGTGGGCCCATAACCCACAGGTCCGAGGATCGAAACCTCGCTCTGATAATCTGAACGCGAAGAAATATGGACGTTTCTGGTTTTTGTTAGGATAACTGTAGTTACTGCTGTGATTTTGTTGCTTCTACCGCCAAATGCCGTCATGCATTCTTCACTATGGACGTACTCAGTACTTTTAGTTCATGGTACTCACATACCTGTACTAGTACCGTGCTTGACCTAGCTCATCAGCAGCATGGGTGGACTAACAGGTGCCATGTGAAGCAAGGAATGTGGACAGATTTGTTCCATTAGGAAATACCAGACAGCTGGGTAAATGATTGCTATGTGGCGATAGATAGATTCTACATCATTGTAATTATCATTAACCTAAGCCACAGTTCTCGAACAGTGTGACAAATATGTCACCGTCCCTTGGATAACCGTGCAGTCCTGTCTGCTTTACGCTCCATTTTCTCCCTCTTCTTCCTATCTCTCGGATCTTCCTCTCCCTGTATAAAACAGGTCACAGAAAGAAACCGGGGAAAAAAAAACAACAACAAACAACAAAAAGGTCCTTCTTGGAATCACAGTCTCCTCTACATCTCAAAGCAAATTGAAAAGGCAAATCAAGGGTTTCAACCAAGTCTTGCAGAGCTGGGTGAGGGAGAGCAGGTAGGCGATTACTAACAGGTTCAACTTTTTGGAAGAAGTAGGGGTAGAGCACGAGCTCCCATAGCTTCCACAATGCAAAGCCCGGGATCTGAGTGGGAAGAGAGGGGAAAAAACACAAGGTGCGAATGCAAACTATCAGCTGTTGGAAGAAGTAGGGGTAGAGCACGAGCTGCCATAGCTTCCACAACGCAAAGGCCGGGATCTGAAAAGGGCGAGGGGGAAGAGAGGGCGGAGAGGGGGGGAGAAAGAGAAGGAGGGAGCAAGGCAGTGAGGATTTGGGAAAGTGTAAAGGTAGAGCATGAGCTGTTTATAGCTTCCACAATGCAAGGCTGGAACCTGAGAGGGAAGTGGGGCGAGGGCGAACAGATGGAGAGTGTGCAATGTGCATGCTTTCAGCTGTGGGAAAAATGGTAAGTGGAGAAAACCAGCTTCCATAGCTTCCTCACTCTGAAGGCGGGATTCTGGACGTGGGAGGAAGGGGAAGACAAGGGGAGGAGTAATCGAGGTGAATCTCTAGCATCAGATTTTTTACAGAAAAAAGGTGCTATGATCCAAAGGGGTCCATGGGACAGACGGACTAAAAGGGTCTCATGACCAGTTTTGCAAGCTTCGAGATTTTATCCAAAAGGGTCTCATGATTTAAATTTCAAGCATGGGAGCGCAGCTGGTTGACTTTCAAGCATCACGATTTCCACAGAGCAAGGGTGCTATGATTCAGACGGAACGCTGGGAGAGAAGAAACAAAGGTGGACTCGAATACCATGGTGCTGGAATGAAGAAACAACGCCCCACGGCCAGGCAATGAGCACGACAAGGGATGGCACGACAAGGGATGGCACGACACGGGATGGCACGACACGGGATGGCACGACAAGGGATGGCACGACACGGGATGGCACGACACGGGATGGCACGACACGGGATGGCAAGGTAATGGTATGGTAAGGCAAGGTATATGGCCAGCGTACAATGAGGTAGATGAGCCAGAACCAGTCAGATAGAATGGAGGCGATCTGGACGAAGGCGGTGATGTATATGATGTCATGCAGATAGCTGCACAGGGAAGAGTGGGAAGGAGAGGAAGGGGGTGGGGGGGGGGGGGGCGGCGGGAAGGAGGGGGGGTTGGACGGGAGGGAGAGGGGGGATTTTAGACGATACAAATACACAGTGGGAAACACATAAGACTTGGAAAAAGAATGGGAGGATTGTGGGGATGGGATGCAAGGGATGGGATGGCTGGATGGATGGATGGATGGATGGATGGATGGATGGATGGATGGATGGATGGATGGATGGATGGATGGATGGATGGATGGATGGATGGATGGATGGATGGATGGATGGATGGATGGATGGATGGATGGATGGATGGATGGATGGATGGATGGATGGGTGGGTGGGTGGGTGGGTGGGTGGGTGGGCGGGTGGGCGGGCGGGCGGGCGGGTGGGTGGGTGGGTGGGTGGGTGGGTGGATGGATGGATGGATGGGTGGATGTATGGATGGATGGATGGATGGATGGATGGATGGATGGATGGAGAAACGGACGGATGGATGGATGCCTGCCGCATCTCGTCGTACGTGGCTTCTGCCAGTGAGACAATTCATGCTTCCACCCAACCCACCCGCGCGTCCTCACCTGCACCAGTCCTACCTTCACCAGACAGGCCTTTGCATCTCACCTACCCGCACAGCCCACCCACCCGCACAGCCCATCTCACCCACCCACCCACCCACCCACCCGCACAGCCCTTCTCATCCCACCCACCCGCACAGCCCTTCTCATCCCACCCACCCGCACAGCCCTTCTCATCCCACCCACCCGCACAGCCCTTCTCATCCCACCCACCCGCACAGCCCTTCTCATCCCACCCACCCGCACAGCCCTTCTCATCCCACCTACCCGCACAGCCCGCCCATGTTGAGGTCGCTGCCACCGTCGATGAGCTGTCCCGTCTCGTCGTACGTGGCCTCCGCCAGCGACGCGATCTGGTCGAAGCACGTCTTGTACGCGAATGTCGTTATAACGAGGCCGATCCAGTGGCGCCACGTGAAGGACGCGAAGAAGAGCGAGAGTCGCACGAGGATGTAAATCGCCTGGGCGAAAGCCATGCGATAACCATGGCGAAAGTGGGTGAATGAGAAGACGTTAAAGAAAAGGCAAAGACGAAGGAGGAGACGGAGAGCGAGAGACGCACGAGGAAGTAAATCGCCTGGACGGAACGAAAAGGAATTAAGCTAAAAAGAGGAAAACAGTCGGGAGCGGGGAACGCGGAATGGGATCTCCAGGTGAAAGAGGACGCGACGAAAGGGATGTGCAATGGTGATTCTTTTATGAACGATTGGAAGAGGAAAGGTGCAAGAACGTGGAAAATGGCTCAAGCTGCTGTCAACGGATGAGATTCAGAAAGAATCGCGACTCGCAAAGCAAAGACTGAATCAGCCTGTAGGGAAGAGAAAATCGAAATACAGAAGCCAAAGGGCGCCAATGGTCACCCGACAGGTGGCCCGGCGGACGCACACGATTGCTCAGCTGAACGTACATTAACGGTCACGATGAGCTTCTGCAGCCGGTTCATATGCTTCTCGTTCTCCTCCTTCCGCTTCTTCGCTCCCTTATTCGCCATCTTTCCCCCTGAGCCTCGAACGCGAAACCCTAACGACGAAAATCCTCTATTTCGATGACCGCCTTGCCTGGAAAGTAGGCTCACTGCTCGTCAAAAGATCGGACGTTGCTGCTCGTCAAAAGATCAGCACAGCACGGCGTAACTGATGATGTGACAGGCAATTTATCCAAATGGCGGGAAGATGAAAGGGAAGCACCGAAATCTGACAGAATTATGGGGCACCGTTTGTGCGAAAACTACTTGCCGTTGAATTCGCGAGATACAGGTTACGGTAACAGAGCCTATTCGGGAAAGAAATAGTTACTCCGAGTGTATTGAGCCAAAATCTCGAGTCCCTGATTTGCGAGAGTAACCGTGCCTCATAACGAAAAATTGGCGATCGTAGGTCTGACAGTTCGTTTGGCCACAATCGGTGTCGCCTGGCATCATTCCACGGTGTTGCCATCTCCGCACACGTCATGCTGCCTCAGCCACGCGGAAGGATGACGGCCATGGACTTCCATTCAGTCACGGGCCAGGCCACCCTCGCTGACACAGACTGAATCGAGAGTCAAATACATGTGGATTTCCGTAACACCTCAAAACCCTATTCAACCATTGTATATAAATATCTAAACGTATGGAAACGCAACTCGCCTTCCTTGACCGCAATAAAATTAACCCTTCTCCTTCACCTTCAGCAGGCAAGTCACAATCTCGTCCCTTGATCAATCCAACCTTGAAGCGTCGCCCTAATAACACCCCTGCATGCAGATTCATTTTCATCGCACGTATAGCTTTTCCGCCCGGGACTATCCAGCACAGTCTGTCCTTCCGCTCATCGCCGCCGTGCGTGCGTCCCGCCCGACGGATTTTACCACACGCTTACCTCCCCTGTTTCAGGCCTTCTTCCATGAACTCTCCCTCCCGTGTTTTATCCCGTGCCGTCCGTACCTGCTCGCTGAGGCTAGAATGGTAGTCTCGCTATTCGCGATTTAATTTTCGCTTTAAAAGAAAAACAAAGTTCCATTCGGGAATCCAGAGCTGATTTAAACTCCCCGCGTATCTTAGTGTCGAACAGATTCACAAACTCCCCGTTTCTCCGTATGGCCCGCTCTTCCGCCGCCGTTCGCGCGGCGCGGCGGCTAATCCCATCCCCTGCCGCGTTTCCAACGCCTCTATTATCACCCGCCGCGCTCGTGGCACCGTTTGTAGTGTCAGCTTCCCCTGTAGCTCTCTCGCCACCCTCGATATTATCTCCCGGTGCACAGCGGCGCGGTGATTGTAGCGAGGATATCTTAGCACTGCGAAGTTCGCAGCTTCACTTTGCCACGTCAGCTCGCTCAACCGGCGGCTCGTCTTGTGCTTCCCGGGTTTCTACTACCAGTGCCACGTGTCCTGCACCTTCGGTTGCCACGCCACCCAGCTCCTTCGCCGCGTCTGGTTTTGCCGATGCGTTTCCTGCCACGTGGCAGCCGAGGAGGGGGTACTCCGTGGAGACATCTTCGGTGGTGGGTCCACGTGGCGGTGCCCAGTTGGTGCAGTTGGATTACCTCACAGGGGACGACGAGGGTGCGTGCTGCCTTGTAAATAATATTTTCGGAACATTTTATTTTTATTTTTATGGGGATTCATAAAAAGCTCTAGAGCCCGCAACGCCATGAGCAAGCAGTTGATGACAGATCTGATGCTCACCCCGTCGTTCCTGCTTCCTTCCCATGATCCTCCCTCCTTCCCATGATCCTCCCTCCTCCCCTCCCACCCACCTTCCTGTCAACCCACCTTCCCAACCTTCCCACCCATCGCTGCTCTGCAGCCCGCAGCGCCATCAGCAAGCATCTGCTGAGAGATCTCATGGATGCCATGGCGGAAAGTTCTAAACAAATCCAAAAACAAAATAAAAAACAAAAACAAAAACAACAATGTAGTACGGCTCACACCTCCTTTCTTCTTTCCACCCTGCTATCCTCCCTGTTTTCATTGCATTCCCCCACCCCAGCGTCCCCCATCCTCCCACTCTGCCTTCCCACCAGGCATCGCTGTGGTGACCCTCAACCGCCCTGCGGCCCGCAACGCCATGAGCAGACAGCTTCTGGCAGATCTTATACAGACCACCTTACTGCCACCTCCCTCCTGTTATTCACACTGCCCCTCTTCCACACACCCCAACCCTCCTCCCCTCCACCCCTTGCCACCCTACATTCCCGTCTCCCCCTTGCGTCCGTCCCTCCAGGCATCGCTGTGGTGACCCTTAACCGCCCTGCGGCCCGCAACGCCATCAGCAAACAGCTGCTGGCAGATCTCTTGGAGGCCATGGCGGAAGTAAGGGGAGATGGGGGAGCTGGGGGGGTGGAGCGAGCAGGGAAAGCAGAGGGTGCAGTGGCAGGGACGCAGCAGGAGCAGACGGGGAAAGCAGCAGTGCGAGTTGTGATAATAAGGAGCGCAGTGGATGGAGTGTTTTGCGCAGGGGCAGACCTCAAGGTATGTTTTGTGAGTGTATTGAAGGTGACTCAAACCTAAGGTAAGCTGTGGGTTATTGTAACATGATGGTACAAGGTGACTATGTATGCACGTGGTGTCTGAGAGTTTCCATTCAATCAGGGCGAGTTGCAAGTTCGAAAATCGAAGGATCGTGGCTGCACACCGATCCCTTGTTGGAGATCCTGGGCTCACTGCGTTATCGATCACTGTACCACGACCGCCCAAGCATACTACCACCTAGAGTATTGCGATAGTGTGGTTTCGCTTTTCAAACGCAGAAACAATAAACACCCTGTTCGCCACTTTCTCGTCAAATTTTGCAGCCCGTATAACGCTGACATGCGAGTTTTTCTGCGCATCGCGAAATGGTTTCGTGACTGGATGTTGTCTGCATCGTCAATCTCACGATCAATCTTCGTGGCGAGGCGAGGCGATCGAGCTGGTTTCTGCCAATCTCCTCGGTCGTGCACAGTGCTACCGGTAACACTGTAGTATGGTAACCTTCCGCTACAGTGGTAGACCACAGTGAGGATCGGTTCGAAGAGACGATCGATCCTCTAATTGCAACACGCCCTCAGTAAGGGTGTGATGCTGTCAAAGAGTGCTAGGCCATGTTAGTGGATGCACTGAATTCCATGTTTGTGAGGTGGATGTAGCAAAACAGTTCCTGCATCAACAACATCGTGGGGTGTTCCGAGAATTAAACGCGGGACCTCTCGCACCCTAAGCGAGAATCATGCCACTAGACCAAACACCCACATCTCGTCAAATCCTGTGTAGAAACCCACAAAATCTTTCTTTTACCATGAACCCACCACCAGGAGCGCAAGGGCATGACACGGGAAGAGGTGGAAGCATTTGTCAGCAGTCTCAGGGAAGCGTTCACTGACCTTGAGGTGAGTGTCCATGCTGGATGCGACGAATTTCCATACCGAGTTCGGTGAATTCTCATGCTGTGAGTGGTGAATGATCATGCTGTGTGCGAGAAATTCTCATGCCTTGCAGCAATCATGCAGCGAATGTTTGTGCAATGTTGTTTATCTTTCATGGTGGCGTGCTGCACGTATGCAGTGAATTTATGCCGCATGAGGTGAGCTATCCACTTCAAACATGAAAGGGAGTCTTGTGCAGCAGCACAAGTGTACACGCCTTGGTACCGGTAAGTCCCTACAGTAATTCTCATGGTTGTGGAGTGGAATTCATGAATTTTGGTTACAATTGACAGCGGGAAAAAGGGGTGTTCCGAGAATTGAACTCGGGACCTCTCGCACCCTAAGCGAGAATCATGCCACTAGACCAAACACCCACGTTGAAGAGCATTGTAATAAAAATAAACACTGAGGAATAAGCAGAGCGTCTTAGCAGACCCCAAGGAGAGTTCACTGACGTAGAGTAAGGGAGTGGTCAAGTTGCAGGCGGTGACATTGGTTCGAGGCTTGGAGGTTACCTCTTTTGACAGAAACCCAATTTTCCCACTTTCTATGCTCTCATTTCCTCCAGTCTTCATACTCATTCACCCCCCTCCTTTGAATTTTCTCCTTCCCAATCTTTTCTCCTACCTTTCGCCTCAGAACCTGCCTGTACCAACAGTGGCAGCAGTTGAGGGAGCAGCACTGGGCGGGGGACTGGAAATGCTTCTAGCTTGTGACATCAGAGTGGCAGGTACGGCAGAGCAGACGCAGCACAGCAGAGGTAGGTATGGCAGAGGTAGGTTCGGCTAAGTTAGGTGCGGCAGAGGCAGGTAAAGCAGAGGAAGGTAAAGCAGAGGGGTGTAAAGCAGAGGGGGGTAAAGCAGAGGGGGGAAAAGCAGAGGGGGGTAAAACAGAGGGGGTTAAAGCAGAGGGGGGTAAAGCAGAGGGGGGTAAAGCAGGGGAAGGTAAAGCAGAGGAAGGTAAAGCAGAGGAAGGTAATGCAGAGGAAGGTAAAGCAGGGGAAGGTTATGCAGAGGGAGGTAAAGCAGAGGGAGGTAAAGCAGAGGAAGGTATGTCAGTGTGCGTTTCACCTTCATAATCCATGCCTGCCCTCACCACTCCCATCTATGTCTCTCCCAGGCTTCTATGGAGTTGCTTCTGAATTTTGTCAAGAGCAACCCTTGTACTTATCCACTCCCATTTAAGTTTGGAGGCGCCTCAAAGCCACCTTTTTTACTTCCTCTCCACTTCTTTTCTCCCGTTCTCCTCTCCTTGCAGGCTTCAATGCCCGGTTTGGGCTGCCAGAGACATCATTCGAAGTGTACAGTTGTCTTTGGCTATCCTCCTCTCGTCTCCTCCTCTCTTTTCCCACCCCCCTCTCTCGTCTTGCAGGCTTCAATGCCCGGTTTTGCTGCCAGAGACATCATTCGAAGTGTACAGTTGTCTTTGGCTATCCTCCTCTCATCCACCTCTCTTTTCCCGCGCCCCTCTTTCATCTTGCAGGCTTCAATGCCCGGTTTGGCCTGCCAGAGACATCGCTTGCCATCATTCCCGGGTGCGTGCATGAAAGCACCTCCATCTTTGCTCTCAGTGATTAAAAGATCAGAAAATGAATGTCTAGCTAGTGTGAAAGTGTTATGCAAGGTATCCAACATGCATACAGCTCGTTGCTGAGGCACATCAGTTGGTTTTTGAGAATTCTCAAAGACCAGCTCGTTGCTCACAGTGACTAAGAGGCCAGCACGTGAATGTCTAGTTTGTGTGAAAGTGTTGTGAGAGTTATTCAACCTGCCGGGCACAGTGTCTAAGAGGTCAGCACATCAGTTGTGGTCGTTGCAGTTTGTGTGTTCCTCGCACCTCATGCTGACAGCAATCGTTTTGAGACGTCTCAAAACCCTTCTTCAAGCACATCAGTTGTGGTCGTTGCAGTTTGTGTGTTCCTCGCACCTCATGCTGACAGCAATCGTTTTGAGACGTCTCAAAACCCTTCTTCAAGCACATCAGTCGCGGTCGTTGCAGTTTGTGTGTTCCTCGCACCTCATGCTGACAGCAATCGACTGCGAGATAGCACAACCCCCTGTAACAGTTCTTCCGGTTGTAGGTTTCCCCTAATCCCATTCATCAGTCATGTCGTCTCATCTCATTTCAATCTCATCTCCTCACATCCATTTCCTCCCATTTCTCTCCTCTCATCCCATCCCTCCCATTCCTCACCTTTCATCCCACCTTCTCATCCCATTCCTCTCATCCCATTCCTCCTCTCATCTCATTCCTCTCACCCGATTCCTCTCATCCCATTCCTCTCATCCCATCCCTCATCTCCCAACAATAAATGCAGGGCAGGAGGCACGCGCAGCGGTTACCATGCCTCATCGGAGCATCTCAGGCAAAGGAGCTCATTTCCAATCTCATCTTATCCCATTTCATCACTCCTCCCCCCGTCCCATTCAATTCACCTCGTACCTTCCAGCGGTCAATGCAGGGTGGGAGGCACGCAGCGGTTACCACGCCTCGTCGGTGCATCTCTCGAGCCAAGGAGCTCATATTCATCACTTCCCATCTCATCTCCTCCCACCCTTCCTCCATCCCAATCCTCTCATCTCATTCTTTTCATCCCATTCCTCTCATCCCAATCCTCCCATCCCAGTCCTTCCATCCCCATCACCTCCCATCAATGCAGGGCGGGAGGCACGCAGCGGTTACCGCGCCTCATCGGTGCATCTCAAGCCAAGGGAGCTCATTTTCATCTCGTCTCATGTCAATTCATCTGCTCCCCTCCCACCCCTTCATTCCATCCCCTTCCTACCATCCCATTCCCCTCACCCCGTACCTTCCAATGATCAATGCAGGGCGGGAGGCACACAGCGGCTACCACGCCTCGTCGGTGCATCTCGAGCCAAGGAGCTCATTTTCACGGCTCGGGTTGTGCGAGCTGACGAGGCACTCTCTCTCGGTGAGAAAGAAGGGCAAGGGGACCAATGTGTTGCCTTGACTTGAGGTGCCATGAGCGGAAGGGGTGTTGAGAGCATCGCGGGCCAAGGAGCTCATTTTCACGGCCCGGGTTGTGCGAGCTGACGAGGCTCTCTCCCTTGGTGAGAGGGAAGGGCGAGGGTGACTTTTGAGTCGACTCAGAAGTCAGCGAGGCGTTGAGGCGACTCAGAAGTCAGCGAGGCGTTGAGGCGACACAGAAGTCAGCGAGGCGTTGAGGCGACTCAGAAGTCAGCGAGGCGTTGAGGCGACTCAGAAGTCAGCGAGGCATTCTTTCTTGGTGAGAGGGAAGGGCGAGGGTGACGGGGGGATGGGGAGGGCATTGATTGTGGCATAACCAAGGTGGCGCCTTAAGGTGGCATGAGAGCAAGGAGTGCCTTATCGGAGCATCTCGAGCCAAGGAGCTCATTTTTACGGCTCGGGTCGTCCGAGCCGACAAGGCGGTCTCTCTTGGTGAGAGGGAACTTTTGAGACGCCTCACGAGCCGACAAGGCGGTCTCTCTTGGTGAGAGGGAACTTTTGAGACGCCTCACGAGCCGACAAGGCGGTCTCTCTTGGTGAGAGGGAACTTTTGAGGCGCCTCACGAGCTGACAAGGCTCTCTCTCTTGGTGAGAGGGAATATAGAATGGGGTGGGCAATTAAGGTGAGTTCAGGCCTTCCGTGCGTGCAAGTGGTGCTCAGAGTATCTCGAGCCACGGATCACATTTGAGAATTTCTCAAAAGAGAATTTTCAAAAGTGAATCTCAAAAGAGAACTCTCAAAAGTGGTGCTCAGAGTATCTCGAGCCACGGATCGCCATTCACAGCACGGGTCGGGTTGTGAGAGAGTCGACGGTGCTCTTTCTCTTGGTGAGAGTGAGGGGGGACTGGGGTGGCCGAGTGGGGGCGAGGGGGGAAAAGAGGGGCGAGTGTGGTGGGGGGGGTTAGGGAGGGCAAGTGCGTTGAGAAGGTGTAAATGGCCAATCAACAAGAAGTTCACAGACAATTCACAACGTTCTCTTATGTGCCCCAAAGATTGGCTCATTTCCCAGTATATAAATGTTTTGATGTGTCTGGGAACAGGGATTTTCCATACCGTTTTTTCTGCTCATGTTTCTGTAAGTGTGCATGCACGTGGGTATATCTGCATCCATGCATGTGCGTGTGTGCAGGTGTGCACCTGCATGCATTGCATTGCATGTACGCATGTATGCATCCATCTGCAATGCCCATATGTGTGTATGCATGCACGTGCACATGCATGCATACAGGTATTGTGAGCCACTGTGTGCCTGCGGGAACTGCACACGACACAGCCCTTGAAATCGCAAGAACCATCCAACGCAATGTAAGCCGAATCACAAGTTCACAACAAAACGAGGATCTGCAATGTATGCTTCTCTTATGCTTTCCTTCGAAACAAGAAGCGCACTTGTTTCAAAGCTATTAAGTGTCTTTGATAGCAGGAAGGGCAACCCTCAGTACACCAATTTCTCTGCACTTCTCTTCTGCCCATTTCATCCCCTCTTCCGATTGCCACTGCAGGGGCATCTTGCCGTTCGACTCGCTAAAGAGGCGATCAACAAAGGCCAAGATGTGGATATGAAAGGCGGTCTTCAAATAGAGGAGCACTGCTATAGAGGCGTGTTGAGATCAAGAGACAGGCTCGAGGGGTTGGCTGCATTTGCAGAAAAACGGAAACCACTGTACCTTGGAGTGTAGCGGTGCTTATATAAAGGGCATGTACCATTCCAAAAGAAACCAGTGTACCTTGGAGTGTAGCTGTGCTTATATAAAGGGCGTGTACCATTCCAAAAGATGCAAATCAAGTGTTCTAACCATGATTTTTTCTTCTCGCAAATGTTGAGCACTACACATGTTTTTTTCACATAAGTGTATCGAAAAATGCCAGGTGTGCCAATATTGTTAAATATACAAACATAAGCTTATACAAATGCTGTTAGATTTTACTGTAGTGTTTCTTTATAAGACTCCCAGCCCTCCAATAATTGTACAATTATTGGAGGGCCAGAATTATTGGAGTCTAGAATTATTGGAGGGTAAGAATTATTGGTGTGGCATTATTGGTGTGGATAGGGCCATCCTGAGGGGGTTAGCTGCTGATAAATACCCTGCACTGTCATTCCAGTGTATCAATCAATTCCATTATTCTCATTCTGGTTTCAACCATTCAGTGCAAGTCTTCCAGCCTTGCTCTTTCTACAAACTAGCTTCCGCAACGCCGGCATCATGCCTTTCTAGCATGGTATCAGAGCTACTCTAGGGGGCATGCTGCCGAAATTTCGTCAGAACTCAATCATCATCTACATTGGTTAAGAAGATTAGCAAATCTGCACAGCAAGTTGCAACATTTGGTGTGACGGCATGGCGCGGTTCGACGACGAAGTTGATGCTGGATACGAGGCGTTCGAAGAAGCAATCTTGGCTCAACATGAGCACCTGGAAAGCATGATCGCAAGAGCACCACCGACACTCCAAGCTTCATTAAGAGCAAGATTCAACATGCCAGTCCAAGTTCGAGATTCCAGCAACCCATCTATCCGTGGACAGTCACATGCAAGCACTCCGCGTACTAACCAAACCAACACTTCAAATGTGGATGCAGGAATTGAAGGTGACGGGGAAGGAAGCATACCCAAAGGAGGAGAGTCATCCCAAGGGAGGGATGCATCCTTCCAAGGAGAGGGGAGCTCCCACCCCGAACCTCAATCAACCATGCAAAGGGAAGCATTGGGGAGAGATGATGAGTACGGGAGTGGAAGGGATATGAGGGCACATGGTGATGGGATTGGCGTGGGAAGAAACATGAGAGGGCAGATTGGTGAAGGGAGTGGTAGAAGCAGTCATGTGGGCATGGAGGGTGTGGGATTCGAATCCTACACCATTGGTGCTCCCCCACTACGCCGACTTGCCACTAACTCCCATCCCATTTGAGTTCCCATAATGGGCAGATCTCACCTTTATGGCAACGTCGTACCTCCTCGTGCGCAATGGTCTCAACCGGAAGCGGTACCTGCAAGAAGCATTGGGCGCATGGGGCACGGAATGCAATCAATTGGAGTTATGCGACGTGACCAAGTGGAGGTGGTGGAACGTGAAGGCACACAACGCACCGTGCAACTACCTCGACCATCTACCGTGCCAACACTCTTCGACCCGTCTCCTCGCGAATACACCGAAGAAGACAAAGACAGACTATCACGCAAGATGGTGGGAGCAGCAGTGGACAAAGCGTTCACCACAACCCCGTTCGACGGCACTAACTCTCGAGAGTGGGCTCTTCGGTTTCGCATGAACGCGCGCGTGACAAATCTGTGGGAGTTTTTCGTGACACTACGATACCCGGTTACAATGGTGAATGGAGAAATGCGAGATGCAATGGAACGGCTGGAAACTCTGCAAGCGGATTACTCCCAACGTGCTACGCTGGCTTTTTGGGTGCTTCTACATAGCGTGAGCGCAACAATTCAGCTACAACTGGACGTGTTCCAAGAGTCATACAGTCCGGCATTCGAAGCATGGGAGTACCTGATGGAAACTTACCAGGCGAAGGATTCGGTCGCAAAAGCGTCTCTCCAGAGGCAATTGGACAACCTGAAGATGGGGAGCCAAGAAAGGGTGGAGGAATATATCAACAGAGCAACTGCAATTCGGGACAAGCTGGCAATGGCAGGAAAATTGGTGGATGAAGATTCATTCACCTTGAATCTGATTACCGGGCTGCCACCGCATTGGGAGGAGCTAAGGCATTCGGCAATGCTACACGACATGTCAGACAGTTACACACTACAGCGAATGATGATTCAAGAACAACGCTACCAAGACCTCATTAGCAAAACCAACCGTGACAAGCGTCCTCCTCGCATGGCTGGTCAGGCACGTGGAGATACTTCACCAGCAAAGGAGAGAACCGAGGGCAACCAGAATACGGCAAGGTCAACGGGAGGACAGCATGCGACGGGTGGAGAAAAATTCAAAGGCAACGAAGGAACGGGGGGCCGTCAAACCTCGTGTGTTGGTACTGCAAGGAGTCTGGCCACCCGTTCTACAAGTGTCCTAAGGCACCTCCGGGTTGGTCACCACCAGGCTGGGAACCACAAAACAGAGGGAGGACAAATCAGCGCACCTGGAGTAGCCGATCTTCCTCGCCTCGGAGGAGTGAAAGCCCGAAACGTGACAGCCAAGCATCAAAACAGCAAGGGGCAGCTGGGGGAGACAACAAGCGAACCGTTACATGCGTGGCAACGGTTCGATCGTCACAAGCAACGTTACCAGCCGCCGGAGGGTCGATGTGGTTGCTGGACAGCGGATGCAGCCAACACATGACTGCAGAGAGGGAGTGGTTTGAGGGATTAAAGGAGTTGACCGAACCTGTTTACATGGAGCTTGCTGATGGGAGCCATCTCTTGAGCTCGATGGCAGGAAAAATTCGAGCAACGGGACCTGATGGAACAACAGTACGTTTCACCGACGTGCTCTATGTCCCCGGCTTGAAGTCCAACCTCCTCTCCTATTGCCAACTGCACAAAAAGGGAGCTCGGATTCGCACTCGAGACGACGGACACATCGTGATTACTATGGCTGTTGAAGATGAGCATGTGGTCATTGGGGTTGGGATGATCATGCATGGTGTGCTCATGGTGCAATATGAGCCTGCGCTTGCATCTGCCCGTGGATTTGATCATTACCATGAGAATGGCGCATCGCATGAGCATAATCATAATGGGGTGCATCCACTTTCCGCTCATGCTTCCATCACTTATCGCATGGCCCACAAGCGTTTGGGTCACCCATCATACACATCCATGGATGCCACATTTCGGAATGGGGATGTCGAAGGACTCTCCATATCAGACAAGGTCAACCCCCTCAAACCCCCGTGTGACTCATGCCTTCGAGGGAAAATGAGCAGGGCCCCATTTCCCACAGGTGAAGACAAGCGGACTACTCGACCTTTGGAACTCGTGCATAGCGACATCATGGACTTGGGTGACGCTCACCCCTCACTTCGCTATGTGCTGACGCTCAAGGACGACTACACCAACTACCTGTGGGTGGCGCCGTTGGCTCGCCGTTCCGACATGGCAGCTGTCTTTTCGACCTGGCACCGCGAGATGAAGACCAAGCTGCCCACGAAGCCTCTGGCTGCCTTGCGCACGGACAACGGAGGGGAGTACACAGCCAATGCGTTCACGGATTACCTGAGTTCTCAACGCATCAATCACCAGACGTCTTTACCATACACGCCGCAGCAGAATGGAGTCGCCGAGCGGGTTAACCGCACGCTCATGGACCATGTGCGTGCAATGACTACCGGAGCCAGCCTTTCATCTAAGTTCTGGCCTTATGCGCTGGAGTATGCCGCTTGGTTACACAACCGCATCAGCTGCAGTAGCAACCCCTCCGCACACTCACCGTACTTCATGATGACGGGGAAGGCAGCAAATGTCTCCATGGCAAGGACCTTCGGATGCCTCTGCTACTATCTCCCTCCCCAAGGTAGCTTCGGGAAGTTTGAGCAACGAGGACGGGCAGGCATGTTTCTCGGCCTCTCTAACTCACGCAAGGCATGGATCGTCCGGGACTTGGCAAGCGACGTCGACACGGACACACGCTCAGCTCGTTTCTTTGACGACCTCATGCTCCCAGACGCCGAATCCCTGCTCGAACGTCAACGGTACATGAATGAAGTCTCACCTCATATCTCGGAGTGGACTTCAGGGGGAGACGACGTTGGGTCAGCATTTGACTCTTTTCCGGCATCCCACAATTCCTCCCCATCATCCTCTGACGCCGCTGCAACAGAACAACATGGAACTAAGGCAAATGACACCGCTCAAGAAGACTCACCAGCAGCTAGTGAAGCCGATACAGGAGAAGAGACAACGACAAGTGACTTACCAGCGGCAGGCATCTCTGTTTGGGAAGGTGCAGACAACAACGAACCAGACAATGACGCAAGTCATCTCTATGACTTTGCCTACCCACCCGATGGGATCCCGCTGGCTGCTCCTGACGTGCCGCCACGGCGGGTTCACTTCAACCCAACGGTAACAGTGCTTGGAGAAGGACAAGGGACGGACAACATGACAGGCCTGGACGTACTGTTTGGGAGGCGGCAGGCAGGACTAACAGTCACACGGTTTCCCAACTTGCAGCAGCAGAACGTACTGGGATGTGCAGCAACCAGCGTCCCCATGGTGGAGCTGACATACAAAGAGCCAAAAACACTTCAGGAAATGACCAAGGACCCGTACACACCTCTTTGGCAAGCCGCTGTGGATGCAGAATTAGCCAAGTTCGACGAGCTGGACGCATACGAAGTGG